GGGAGCTGCATAAGATCTAGATTTGACAGATAAAGTAGGGTATTTGGGGAGATTTTGTTTGTTTTTCATTTTTGAGGCAGGTCTTGCTGTATAGTCCAGGCTGGCCTCAAACAAGGTGATCCTCCTGCCTCAGCCTCCCAAGTGTTGGTATCACAGGTGTGTACCACCATGCCTGGTAGTTTTTCACTATTACAAGTAATAATAGCTTGCTTATAAAATGCGTGTATGCAAGTACACATTTCGAGACACAGCGCCCCAGTATTAGGTCGCCTGCTTCAGAAGACCCAGTCTCTTGAGTCTGAGAGGGAGCAATGGCCAACAGAAGACTCCAGGCCAAGCCCCTAGGCCCTCACTTTGAGCTCCATCCACGGTTAACTCCTGCAAGTTAGGGTAACTGATGAACAGGTATGGCCATTATTTTAGTAGAGTATCTTAGTGGGACAAACGAGCAGATGGAGACAGGGACTGAGCAGCACACAGGAGAATCAGGCAATGGCAGAGGAGGCACATTCAGAGTGACAGGCGGTGAGTGAGTCTCGCCATACGCTTTCTGTCACATTTACCAGGCACCCAGCACAAAGCACAGCTGGCTGCTGGGCAGAGAAACACCAACCATGGCACACATTCTCTGGGGCTTCAAACAACACAGTCAACAAACTGTTCTCAATATCCTGGTTTTTGTTTTTTTGTTTTGTTTTGTTTTGGTACCGGGGATCGAACTCTGGTCCTTGTGCTTGTGCAGCAGGTGGCGGAACCACTGAGCTAAATCCCTGGCCCAAATCTTTTTTATTTACTAATTTTTTTTTTCGTCCACAAACAGTAAGAGGTCACGGAGAAGATCTTGTTTGCAGAAGAGGAGGAGAAAAAGGCAGAGGATCCCTCACTTCCGATGAGATTAGGGAGATGCGTAAAATGTGGGAAACTACAAAATCACCACCCAAATAAGGCTGTAGTAGTGTGATGTTACCTATTTAATGACAATGCAATGTCACATTTCCACAAAGTCCTCAAAAGGAGGCAAAAGCAAGCGTCACTGGACAGGCTCCTTGTTCAAGCTGCACAAAAAGAGAAAGATTCCATTGAGCCGACAACAGTGATTCCGTTCGAAAGTCGTCCTGCCCAATAACCAACCCTCTGCTCCTGTGGCCCCTCAACAGCCACGAAGGTTTCCAAAGGTAAGTACAGGTTAATTTGTTTTTCTTTATATCTTAAATTATTTTGTATTACAGTATTATAATCATTTTTATATGAATATTTTTAGGCTGTGGAAAAAATCATCTGAATTTCCATTATTTCTCAGGGGGAAATTTGCTTTGATATACAGGTGCTTTGGGTTACAAAGCATATTTCTGGAACAAATCATGCTTGCAAACAAGGTTTTACTGTATATACACACAGAAACATGGGAAAGCAGGGCACGAGAAGACCCTCAAGGTCTCCCAACTCTCCTAAGGCAGACCGAGGGGGCACAAAGGGAGGGGAAAGCAAACAGCAAGTAGCAGAACTCCGCAAAAGGTTATAGAAAAGATGAAACTACAAGTTCCAGAGGAAATGAACCTAAAGTTCTCAGAAATACCACTCCAAGCTACCCAAAGTGGGTACGGGGGAAATAAGTAACGTAAATGGCATGGTACTGGCACAGAAGACGTGGAGTTGGGCATGGTGGCGCACGCCTGTAGTCCCAGCCCTCAGGACGCTGAGGTATGAAGATCACTGCAAGTTGGAGGCCAGCCTTGGCTGCATAGTGAATTCAAGATCAGCTTGGGCTGTAGAGTGCGACCCTGTCTCAAAACAAAACAAAACAAAACACGTGGAGCAATGAAACGGGATACAGAAACATCCCCAGACATACTGAGCTATCTGATCTGTGACAGAGGGGCCAAAAGCATGCGTTGGAGGAAAGGCAGCCTATTCAGTAAATGGTGCTGGGAAAACTGGGTATCTGCAGAAGGTTGAAACCGGACCTGCACTTCTAAACAGATGAAAGGTCCACACATTAGAACCGAAACATTGACCGTACTGGAAGATAACAGGTAAGACTCGAAGACCTAGGTGTAAGGAAGGATTTCCTAAAAAGAACTAATTGCACAAGAAATAACAGCAAGAATCAACGAAGAGGATTACATCACATTAAAAGCTTCTGCACAGCAAAGGTATCGAATTAGGAGAGAGAAGAGACAACATATACAATGAGAAAAAAATGTTGCCAACTATTCCTCAGACAGGATTAATATCTAGAATATATAAGGAACTCCAAAAAAATTTGACCACCTGAAACAAAGGCCCAGTCAAGAAATGGGCGAATGAGCATACTTCTCAGAGGAAGAAATGCAAATGGCCGACAGATACATGAAAAAATGTTCAATATCCCTGGTCATTAGAGAAATACAAATTAAAACAATGCTAAGATTCCATCTTACTCCAGAAAGAATGGAAATCCTCAAGAAATCAAAAAATAAATGCTGGTGTGGCTGCAGTGAAAAAGGAACACTCCTACATTGTTGGTGGGAATGTGAACTAATACAATCAGCATGAAAATTCCTCAAAGAACTAAAATTAGAAATTCCATATGACTGAGTTATCCTCCTCCTAGGTATCTTCCCCTACGAACTAAAGACATCATACTATAGTGACCAATGGATACCTCTGTATGTATGTATTTATTGAAGACAGGATCTCGCTATGTAGTTCAGGCTGGCCTTGAACTTGTGCCAGTCCTCCTGCCTCTGCCTCCTGAGTGCTGGAATTACAGGTGTGCGCCACCACACCTGGCTCCAATGTTTACAGCAGCAGAATTCATAATTAAATTCTTGAAGCAGCCTGCATACCCATCAACAGATGATTGGATAAAGAAAATGTGGTATCTACACATAATGGAACATTACTACTCAGCTATAAATAAGAAACATTTGAGATATTTGTAGGAAAATGAATGCACCTGGAAATATATAATGTTGAGTGAAATAAATCAGACACACAAGCTTAAATACTATTATTTCTCATTTGAGTAAGGCAATGTACAAAGAGTACAATAAAGAATAGATAGGGGGCGGGGATTTAGCTCAGTGGTTCTGGTGCCTGTCTCACAAGCGCAAGGTCCCAAGTTCAAACCCCAGTACAGAAAAAAAAAAAGAATTGATAGAAGGAGACCAGGGGATGGATCTCTTGCAAATGGGAAGGGTCAAGAGAATGTGGGTCAGAGGAGAGTGGATGGGGAAATAATTAGAATAAAGATACACCACATACAGCATCCTGGTAACCTCGATGAATATAAACATTATATGTCCTAAATACAAGATCAGTGGTATCAACAAGAATGAAAATGGGGAACACAGATTTAGAGGAGGGAGGGAGGCAGGTGGCAAGGGGAAGGGAGTTAAAAAGAACGAGGTTGGGTTCTGTACGTGTACCCAATCCCCCAGAGGACTGTAAACTGCATGTGCTGCAAACATACTAATAAAAAGACACTAAAGCGAAAACTTTCCTGGGGAGAAAAAAGTATTTGCAGCCGTTTGTATCTACATTGGAAAAATGTGTGTAGAATCACATCTGGTTAATAGTTTCTAACATAGAAATCCATGATGGATTATGGATACGGATGCATTTATATTTTTGGTTGGTTGTTTTCTAAATATTTTACAGTAAGTATGCAGTGCTTTTATAATTAGAAAACAATTCCACGTATCAAGACCAAGTTATAAAACCGAGTGAAAATCAGAACATAGCTTTTCTATGAACAAGAAGTCTCAGTGAGTGTTACCACACTCATCTCTGCTTCTGAGTTACTTAGGTAAGAGTTTATCCTCAGAATTACAGATTACTAAAGATGAAATTTTGACTGTTTAGCACCTACCAAGTCGAATTCCTAATGAAATCACAGGCAGGAAGCTCCCAGCTGCCCTGTGGACCCTTCTAGTCCTGGGGTTGTCTAGGATTCCATGCCTCTGGCTCTGACAAATTGGACCAGAAAGTCTAAAAAGGGCTGAGGCACGCAGAGCGCAAGCCCCTAGACACGGGATCTGAATAGACAGCTCTCCAAAAGTAAAGACATCCTGGGCCGGGGATTTAGCTCAGTGGCGCCACCGCCTGCCTCGAAAATGCAAGGTTCCCAGTTCGATCCCCGGTACCAAGAGAAAAAAAAAACCCCACAGAAAACACAAACCACAATTACTGCACAAGGAGCTATGGCTTCACACTGCCGGGGCCACGGAGAGGAGGCAGACGCCGGGGCCTTGTGCGTGGCGGGCGGTGCGGTGAAGTGCTGCGCTCTCAGGTCTCAGTCCGGTTCGTAAGTTCGGCGCTGTCTCCGCTCCTAGGTACGCACCTGCGCTGCCCGCGAGCTGCCGTGCCCTCTGTGCGCGGGATGCCTTGGGGTCAGGTCTAGTCCAGGACAGGCGGCAGCCGCCTTCTCCCGGGGGCAGGCCCGCTCCTCTTCCTGCCCACCGAGCCGGGGCACGTTCTCCCGCCTCGCGCCTCAGACTCAGACGCGCGCACCCCGCGGCCCCGGTTCTCCGGTGGAATGGCTCACGCCACACCCGCTGCACCGGGCCGAGGGACCCAGCCTGGCGGAGGACAGCGGGTCTGGTGTTCGGGCGAGCACAGAGGGCCGGGCCTGCCTACTCTGCCGCCTCGCCCATATCAGTTCCCACCTGCACTTCGCTCAGGAGGGCAGGCGGGCGGGCGGCAGCATCCGGGACTGCGCGCGGCGAGAGCACTCCGGGAGCGCAGCGGATCTCCGTGCTGAACCCCCGCCACGGGGCGGGCCCAGGACCATCTCAAAGGCTTACAGGTGAAGGGGCAGGCGGATCTGGGGTCGCAAGGGCCGGTGCTGGGTGGGCATGGGGCCGCGCGGGGCCAGCCTCCCCAGACCCCGGGACTTCTCATGTCTGCACCCGCTGGTAAACACATACTTGTGTTCTTTTATGCTAAGTTTGTGATAATTTCTTCCAGCAGAAACAAGAATTGTATGAGTCTGAGTTAAAAAAAAAATCAGACAAAACTATGTAGGAAATAAAATTTTATTGTACAAATTTTACACTTGTTATAGATGATGAAAGGCATGGGAAATGTTAATCTGTCTGACATTTTCTGTGAAAAGTATGTGTCCTAATGCATTCTTGGACAGTACAGATTTTCATATAGAGTATTTAACAGTTGTGTTGGCAGTGTCTCAGGACACCACAAATAAAGCTGAAAACAGATCAAAAAAGTGCACGGGGAAGACCACTGCCAAAGAGTAATTTCCAAGAACTCGGTATTTTCCACGGCAAGGCAGATGGTGCAGGGTCGTTACTCTGTAACTGAAGAACAGAATAATCTTCAATTCTACCATCAAACCTCCCTTTAGTTCTGACATTTGAAGCTAGGTTTTACTGTTAGGAGAAATAAGTGTTTCTATGTCTTCCTGTCAAAGAAGAAATTTCTCTGAGTTCAAATCACAAAGATACTCCAGAAAGGATGCAGCTGGACTCTGCAGTAGAACAAGCCTGGTCTCTCCCTGGCTAAAGCAGGAATGAGCAGAGGCTGGCGCTGAGCAGCCTCCAGGTGCTGCTGCCACACCCTCAGGCGAGCTCACCCGGGTGAGGTGTGAGGCGCTCACCTCAGAGACCGAGCTTGCACTGCTCTTCGGCACTGCTCACTTCCGGGTGAGAAGCACTCCTCGCTTCTCTGCAGCAGTCCTGGATTCCACAGAGGACCTGTCTCCTCCTCCAGGAATCCACCGGGCGTAATTAATGCCACAAGAACAACGAGTACAATGAACAGACGGGCTTTTTCTTTCTGGAAAATTGGTCTTAATGACATAGTTAACTGTCTGTTACTGTCAAAGTTCAGCTTAAACCATGTTCATGTAAAGACGCCAGTAAGTACCAAGGACTTTGACCCATTTGGCCCACAGAGTACCTAAAATCCAAGCTAACGAACAGGAATCACACAGAGCAGCTTCTGCTGTGGAAAAACTCACCTGCGGTTTGATTATCTGCAGCCACTCATTAAGGTACTCAACGAGACCCAGTGCGTCTGGGACGTTGTCCCCTTCGGAAACAAACTTCAGCAGAACCACCATTTGGATTTCTTTAGAACAGCTGCAAGGAACAGAAGAACAATCCAGTATTCTTCCCCTGACAGAACACGCTGAGCCTAGTGCATTGGTTTTTACAGGTGAGATGGCCTGTCGGTTTCTGGGCAAGGAAAAGCCACCATGTCCTGGGATCACTCATTCCTCTCCACGGCAGCACACACATGCTTCTCCTTGGGACAGGCAGGAGCCCCGAACACGGGGAACGCCCAAGTTTGTACCTCACCTCAGGGCATGTGAAAACCCAGCAAATCAGATCTAGTTCTGATCTACTCCCAAAGCCTAGTTTAGAAGACAGTAATTTTTCAGAAGCACCATAGTAAAGTGACTAAAAGGAAGTTAAGACACTTGATATTAACAATCTAAAGCAGTAAAGGAAGCCAGACACAGTGGTACATGCCTGTAATCCCAGCATTCGGGAGGCTGAGGCAGGAGGACTGCTGGGAGTTCCAGACCAGTCCAAATGACAGTTAAGAGCCTGTCTCAAAAAAAAAAAAAACAGGAGGAAAGGAAATTTGGAAGAGAGTGGAACAGTTAAGAGACAAACACTGACTTTTTACGGATGCCCCTCACTAGGTGCTAAGCACTGTCTGAAAATTTGACAATGCAATCCTTACAACAATCCTTGAGGAAACTATCATGACTGCTGTTTTATTTTTATTTTATTTTATTTAAATTTTTTGGGGGGGCGGTACCAGGGATCGAACTCAGGACCTTACGCTTTCGAGGCAGGTGGCAGCACCACTGAGCTAAATCCCCGGCCCTTATGATTTCTGTTTTATGAAGAAATCCGTCTAGAATAATAGAAACAAGGACAGAACATCAGGACTCAAACTCTAGCTCTTGCCAGGGGGGGCCAGGGTCCCTGGTCTGTAAAAGAGGGCTAACGAGAGAACCTCACGTGCTGCTGTGAGGCTGATTCCGGGAGGCAGTAAGATGGCATGCTTAACCCAGGATAATTCACGGGAGTCTCTGGAGCCTGAGCTGGTAGGTGAGAGAACAGCCTCACAGGGACTGAAGACACAGAGAACTTGCTAAAAGCTCTGCATCTGTTAATGGCAGAGGTGGACCTGAACCCAGGCCTTCTGAGCCCCGGAACATCTCCTTCCTATCAATGTCCGCCTCGAGCCAAGGGTGAGGTGGTGACAAACCAGTGCAGAAAGTTTCCTGTTTGCCCACAAAGCAAAAGTGATTCCTGATACTCTACAACTGAGAACTATGAGAAACTGTAAGCCAGACTTGAGAGTGTGATGGGCAGCTACACAGATGGAAGGTGAGGTGGAGTCCAGCCAGGGCTTCCAGAAATGAGTGGGCACCAGGCTACGTCACCAGTGCATCTCAGTCTCTAGCGGTCAGAAAACAGAAGCTGCTAGCATCCCTCACACCGTGCCTCGCCTGTTTTGCAAACATCTCAGGGCTGTAATCACAGCGCAGAGCTCCCTGAGCTCCAGAGCTGAGAGAAGTCCAGCTCCAGGCCCCAGCTTTGCGTCTCTCAGGAGCTCCAGTTTACAGCCTATTACACCTCGAGGGAAAAGAGCAAGGCAAATGCAAAGCTGCAGGAAGAAGAAACTAATATAAGAACAGAGTGGAGGTGAGTAAAACAGAGCAGAAAATATTGAAGAAGAATCGGTGAACTCAAAAGTTGGTTCTGTGCAAAGAGCAACAGAAGTGATAAACCTTTATAGTTAGACTAAGAACAAAAGAGGAAAAAGACTCAAATTAGTAAAATCAAAATTGAAAGCGGGAACATTACTAGGAGTTTTACAGAAATAAAATGTAATTACTTAAGGGTACATATTTCTACTTAGGATGATGACAAAATTGTGGAAGCTATGGCAATTAACCCTGTGTTCCCCAGGCTGGTCTCAAACTCCTGAGCTCAAGTGATCCTCCTGGCTTAGCCTCCTGAGTGCTAGGAGAGAAGGCAGGAGCCACTCTGCCCACAATTGGATTGAGGATTGAATCTAGGGCCTCTGCACTAAGCCATATCCACAGTCCCCTTTTTATACAATTCTGAGACAGGCTCTCACGAAGTTGCTAAGTTGCCCAGGCTGGGCCCGAACTTGTGAGCTTCCTGTCTCAGTCTCCCAGAGTGCTGGGGCTATAGCTGTGTGCCATCACGGCCAGCTAAGGTCATTTTCCAATTAAGGTGGGAAACTGACAAAGAACCAAACAAACTCACCTCTCTTTGTAGAGTGCTCGTGTGATTCCTCCTCCTGGAATCCGGACACAGTAATCAGAATCACTCATTTCAGGAATGCATGGAGTTTTTTCCATTTCTTGCCAGTTAAGGCTCTTTATTTTATTCTCAACACTCTTTTGCATACAAGGCGTAAGCAGGTACCGAAAGGGAGTGCTAGAAACAATCATATAATTATCTTTCAAAAAATTCAAAATACGAAAACCAGGGCAGTAATTAGGCTTTTATTTTTTGGTGCTGAGGATCAAACTCAGGACCTCGTGATTGTGAGGCAGGCACAGTGTCACTGAGCTAAATCCCCAACCCAGTAATTAGGTTTTTAACTAAACTTGGTCTCTGTATAATCTGCTGCACAAGGCAAAAACACAAGTTTCAGAAGACTAGGAAGCATAACACACAACACATCACGCTGGCCTGCTGTTCACAGCTCAGGAGAGGGCAGAGAGGCAGGAGACGTACAGCAGGGCAGGGCTGACGTGAGATAAATCTGTCCCCAGCTCTGCCCCCTCTGCCATGACATCCGAAGGTCCACAGGATGCTGCCTCGGAGTCCGCCCATTCCGACAGGAACTGTGTGAGCTGACTGATGTTTTCATCCTGATTTGCTAAGTAACAATCTAAATGAACTAAAAGATTCTCCCACATAGTATTTTATCAATTTCATGGGATAATAAAACACAAAAGTTTGTATTTCTATTCTGGAGATACTTTGTCTTATATTTTAAGAATTCAGCATGACTTGCTTGGGAGCTTACTTGAAGACAACTGGATTCCCACAAATATAAATGATTCCATATTTGGAAATACAGATTTAGTACCAATTTAACCTTTCAAAAGTTACCAACTGATGTGGCTGGGGTGTACTCAAAGGTACAGGACTCGCCTAGTAGGCACAAGGCACACACAGGTTATGAGTCCATAAAACAGGGGTCTGTCTTTCTCCTCTTTCTCTTAATCAGCTGCGCTCTGCGACACCACCCACACCACAGCAAACCCTAAAAGGATAGTTCCAAAACCCATTTTCCTGACCCAAGTCTCCTCCGCCCAGCTCTACTAACTCGCAGGAATTCAAGGGAGCCCTATGTCCTTTTTATGTCCTCCTTTTACCTTCCTCTTTCCAAGTGGAGAGGCAAGGACACCCGTGACTTTTAAAATTTAACTTTTCTTTTCTTTTTTGGTACCGGGGATCAAACTTGGGAGCTTGCACTTGTGAGGCAGGCGGCAGAACCACTCAGCTAAATCCCCGGCCCATAAAATTTAACTTTTCAATAGTGAGCTATCCATTGGCACCCTAACTAGGGCAAGCGCGTACCTGCGAAGCTGTAGGTCGTTTCGTTGGTAAGAGTGACTGCTCGAAAGAACAATAACTTTGGCAAAGCTGCTACTTTTCACCCAGGAAAGGAGTTTTTCACAGAATGAGGTGGATTTATACTTTGTGTGCCATTGAGAGAATAAAAAGAACATGTAACAGTGAGATCTTTGGGTATGGTAGTCAATATCTTATAAACTTTATATGATAATGGTATCTATAGACACTAAACTTATTAGTACTACACTGTCAGATCCACTTACTGCTTTAAAAATGAAGACGAGCAATTATTTAATACAGCTTTACAATTTGAAATAAATCTACTGTGAGCAATCTAGATGTCAAAAAATTCTATTCTAAGAAAAAGCACTTTTCTAAGTAATCTACTATTATTTATTTAATTACACGTGCAGCGCTGGATATTGAACACAGGGCCTCAAGAGTGCCAGGGTAGAACTCTATCACTGAGCTACAATCCCAGCCTAGAAAGAAGAAATCCACATCTGCCTGGTCACCGCCTGAGCTGGGCATGCTGCATACACTTGTGATCCATCCACGGGGAGTCTGAGGCAGGAGGAGCCCAAAGAAAGGCCAGTCTTGACAGCTCACTGAGAACCTGTGTCAAAATAAAGATTCAAAAGGGCAGGGACCTAGCTTACCGGTGAGTGCTTGCCTAGCACATGCAAGGCTCCAGGTTCAATCCCCAGCACTGGGGCAAAAAACCCCCACATGGTCACCTGTGAGGTGCTCATCAGAAACTGTGGACTGGAATCTGATTGTGAGGAAAGCAGAATGTGGAACATCTGGCCTCCCCTCCTGAAAGGCATCAGAACCAGGAGGGGCAGAAAGAGAAGCAGGGCCAGCAGCACACATGGGGTAGGAACTACAAAGATGTGCCAACCAGATGCAACATGCGCACCTTGCGTGGTCCAGCACTAAAGGGCACTGTGGAGACAACCAGGATGTCTGAATACACAGGACGGGACTTCTGAGTGAGTCATTCAGTGCCGATTTTCTGGGACATGGCGATGGTGTGGTTGTGAAGGAACATGTCCTTGTTTTTTTTTAAATTTGAAACAAGCAGAGAAATTTATTGATCTTAGGCTGGTTGATCCTACAAATCTTGATCAATGTTTAATGCAACATCAGATAACATTGGTTCATCAACTTCTTCCACTCTGCTCAAGTTAGGTGCCCCATATTGATCACTAATTTCTGCTAGTGTTTTGCCTGACTCTTGTGCTCCTTCCTCTGAATGTAAAGCATCTTCACCCTTGGCTATATTTTCCATATTCATTCTCTTCTCCTTCTCTAATTGTTCCTGCACTTTCCCAAGTTCTTCTATTCTCTGTCTCTGTCTTTCTTGGATTTCCAACTCCAGCTGCAATGCCAGCTGCTGCTGCTGAAACAAGAGCTCCTCAGCTCTGAGCTTCTCCAGCAATTCCTGCTCCACCAGTGCCAATGTTCTTTCACACTCCAACTGGGCCATTTCCTTCCTTCTCAGCTCTTCCATAGTCAAATTTTCCTTATACTTGTAAATCCACAAAGCTAAATATTCTATTGGATCCACAGGGTGAACTCTTGCCACTTCTGCAAGACCCTGAATTAGACATGTCCCAAGGTGCTTCTGAAGATAGGCTGACTCCATCTCTAGCTCCTAAATAAAATCTTCCGAGGGAACCCAGCGAAACGACTGGCACAGCGCTGAGAAAGCGACCGATTCCTTCAGTGTGTGCGCTGTTCTTTTTTTTTTGATACCAGGGATAGAACTCGGGACCTAGGGCTTGCCAGGCAGGGGCTGTGCTGCTGAGCTAAATCCCTAGCCCTGCTTGGTTTTTTTTTTGGTTTTTTGGTACCGGGGATTGAACTCACGTCCTTGCCCTTTTGTGCTCTTGTTTTTTGAGACAGGATCTCACTTTGCAGCCCAGGCTGGCCTTGAACTCATGGCAATCCTCCTGCCCCCAGCCTAAGTGCTGGGATTACAGGCGTGCACCACCACCGGCTCCTTGTTCTTGATTACACTTTTCATTTTCTTTGGCAGTGCTGGGATGGAAGCCAGGGCCTCACACATATTAGGCAAGTGCTGCATGCTGAACTGTGTTTCAGCCTTGATCTCAGAAGCTGAGGGCCTAAGGACTGTGGGACAGGCTGTCAGTCAGGAGCCTATTTTCTGGACTCTTGGGAGAAGGAAACTGTTCACACACAGGAAGAGGTCAAGCATGTGAAACCAGATGTGAACAGCTGGGGTGAATCTGGGACGTAGATTATAAATCTGGGGGAGGGAGGGAATTCCCACTTAAAAATTTTTCCCAGTTAAAAAATAAATATTCATTAGAATTTAAAATGCAGGTAAAGTGGCAACCTTCTGAAAATAAGAGAGTGATACACTCTGGAGATTAAGAGGCAGGCGCTGGAGTCGGCCACCCAGGCTGGGATCTTGGCCACAGACCCTACTGCTTATCCCCAGCAAACTGCCTGACCTTTCTGGGTTTCTAGGTTCCAGTTTTCTCACTTGAAAAATGAGAATAATGTCAGTACCTGATTCATAGGTTTGTTGCAGGAAAGAAATAAAATACATATGAAATGCTTAGAATAACTTTAGTGTGAAGAATCAATGCTCAATAAATCTTTGCAATTTTTAAAGTCATTCTTTATTTCATCTGCAAAATCTATCTGGAATTGTGTGACTTGTGTATCTTAAGTATTAAGCACAATGTAAAAATGGCCAGCCTAGGCAACGCAGCAAGACCTCAAAATAAATAAAAATAAAAAGGGCCAGGGATATAGCTCAGTGGTACAGCGACTTGGACAGTGTGCCCAAGGCCCTGGGTTTAACCTCCAGTACCACGAAAATCCATGAGTGGATCAGCGGCCTAAGGCTGGCAGCTACACCAGACAGTGCAGATGTGAAGCCTCACAGGCCTCACGCAGGGCTGTGGATTCAGTGAGCTGGGAAGCCCATGCAGGGTTCTGAAGCCAGCATGTGACCTAATGTGCTTTCAGGGTCCCTGAAGGGGGAGTGAGAGCAGGGGGGAGCGTGAGGGACGTGCGAGCAGGGTCTGAACTGAGTGGCCTACGTGTGGTGCCAGGGCAGGAAGAGCGAGGCTGGGTTCAGAATATACCCTGACATCACACAATGCACATGCAGCCCCCAGTAGGAAATGATACAAGTGCAACAAATCTATGCTACTTATATACCTAATTTTTTTCACCGGTATTATCTGAATCAAGGATATATCAGACCTGAGTTGTAAGTCTTAATTCTTTTTATATAACTCTGAAATCATGGTAACACATCTGAAATGAGATCATCTTCTACTGAATCGGAGGTTTCTTAACTGTACATACAGCACAGCAGAAATGACTTTTAAATCTAATGGTACTTAGTTTTTCTAGTGATATTATACTTCAAGAAGCTCAAAAAGGTAAATATGAGACACTCACCTTAATAAAAATAGATCTTAACTGAAGAGCCACTAATTTTCTTGAAGGCAATGAATATACTACAAAGACAAGAAGAAAAGGAAGTCATAGAAAATGAATGACTTTTTCAAGCTAAATTATTTTGATAAAAATATAAATTATAAGAGGTTTTGCATCTAAATATTTTCAATAATTAAAATATAGAACATAAGCACAATACCAATTGCTTAACATAAAACACTTGAGAAGTAACTTAAAATGTGCCAGTGGGGTTTGCTACAGAATATATAGAGTTTTGAAAAGTTAACTGTAAGAAAATACCAAAAATTATTTTTTGTTACTTATGGTGTGGTGTGCAGAGGCTAAGCCAAGAGAATTGCTGGTACCCTGCAGTTCAGGGACAGCCTGGGCAGCATAGTAAGCTGTATCTCTTAAATTTAAAAAAATTTTTTCTTCTGACCTTATTGTAAAACCAGAGAAGTATTCCCTTGGAAATTGCTGATGTTATAACAAATAGAATCATCCTTAAGAAAGGTAAACTTCTCAGTTTCTGATATTCTTCCCTCTTCTCTTTTATTTTTTTGGTACCGGGGATCGAACTCAGGACCTTGCACTTGCAAGGCAGGCACAGTGCCACTGAGCTAAATCCCCGGCCCTTCCTCTTCTCTTCTGAGACCAGCAACACTCACTAGAATTAACAAAATAGACTAAAATGTAGAAGAATGTTAGCCATGTAAGAAAATCCCTGGACTAAGTACATTTGTGTTCCTAGGAGTTTGTGAAAGACCTGAAATAGTATAAAATTTTCTGTCAGTCAAGCTATGTGCAGTTTTTAAGGAAAAAGTTCATACTTTCACCGGGTTCCACCAGGGCCCCACTTGGAGATATGTAAGGGCCCCTCCCCACCTCACCTTTTGCAACAGCCATGGACAGAGGACAGGCAGGCCACTGTGCTGAGGGCTAAGCTTTGGTTACTGTAAACAGATTACAAATCACCCTAGTCTGGGGAAATCCTGTGGTGGGTTGGGTCTGTTACAGTTTGGATCTGAAATATCCAACAGTTTCCTGTGCTGCAGGAATATCCTCAGTCATGGTGCTACCGGGAGGGTCTGGCTGGAGTGAGCAGGCTGCAGGTGCCCTGGAGGGTACACAGAACCCTTCTCTCTGCTCCCTGGGCTGCCGTGAGTTGAGTGTTGTTGCCCTACCATGTGCTCCCCTCCCTCCCATGATGTAATGCCAAGGGGCCATGGACCGAAATCTCAGAACCATACGGCAAAACAGAACTTTCCTTCTTCAAGTTGATGTATCTCAGGTATTTTGTCACAGTGATGGAAAGTGAACACAAGGTCTCTCTTGTTTCTATAACAAGCTATTTTTTCCTTCTGGCTAGTGTGACAGGTTATACCACACCCCACCAAGTCTAGTGAACACCAGGTACACTTAGGTCAAAAGGATCAGTGCAGAAAGTTTAGAAATTAGAGAAAAAGGACTAAGGAATAGGCCATTCAGGCCTGTCATCTACCTGTGACATATATATAGTCCACTTCAATGTATCTGGGTGGAAAAAGCACGTGTCTCTATGGTTGTGCAGGCCAGGGTTTAAAACACTACTATAGGAACTCTACTATTCTCCATCAACATGTCATGCTACTGATTTTTGTCATTAGGATCCTGAGTCCTAGTACTTTTTCTTCTGATGTGACACAATATGAAAGCAATATCATCTTTTAGTATTCTGGCCAAAAAATTTACTTTCTATCAAATCAAGTCTTTAGACCTAACTGCAGTTTCAGAAAATGTAAGGGGTGGAGAACCAAAGCAAGTAAGAGCACAAGGAAATAGACAAATGCAGAGGGGAGATGTTCTACAGGACAATGGGCCTAGACCTGTACTATGGGCCCTAGTTTGGAGAAACTAACTTAAAGTGACATTTAGAGGTAAAGTGGGCCAATATGAACAAGAAGAAGGTACAGGAAGATATTAGAAAATTACTGATTTTGTTAACAGTGATAATGTCATTTTAGCTATGTAACAAAATGTTTTTATCTTTTAAGAAATGCATACTTTTATTTTAGGAGGTGAAATTTCATGATGTCTATTTTAAAATACTTCGGCTTAAAAATGAAGTGGGTTAAATTGCACCCAGACATTTGACCCACTGCCAGTTTGTGAAAGGAAAGCCAATGGATCTTGTTTGTGTGTGTGTGTGTGTGTGCTACTGGGGACTGAACTCAAGGCCTTCACACTGAGCTACATCCCCACTCCTTTAAATTCTGAGTCACTGTATTGTCCAGGGTGGGCTTGAACTTGATTCTCCTGCCTCATCCTCCCAGAATGCTGAGATTACAAGTGTGCACCACCATGCCCACTCGGGTCTTCTTGAGTGAGGTGCTAACAGGCAGGTGTCTGAGGCTAGACTTGACTAGAATCTCAGTCACACCAATTATCACTCACATGACTTTGAACAACTGAACTTCTCCGTGCCCTGGTTTCATCTATAAAGAAGCAGCTCTACGGTAGGGAGCTTGCCTAGCATGTGCAAGGCCCTGGGTTTGATCCCCAGCATTGGGAGAAAAACCACCTAATAGAATAACTGTGAGAATTAAATGTATCAGAACAAATAAAAGCACACAGCCTTCCGCCCACAGTAAATACTCAATAAGTGACAGTTGTTATCATTAGAGGAACTAGTATAAATTCTAGTTCTAACATTTGTGGGCTTTTAAGGCTAGTCTTATGTTAACAAATCCATCTTTCCTTCAGGAATTTCAGTAATAAGGTTATTTCTCAAAAGGCATTCATTATGCAAGCTAAGAACAATGACATAGCTAATAAACCTAACAAAGCCACAATGCTTCATTTGTCTCTCATCCACCAATGGCCTTCCACGCTCTTTTATCAGTCCTGGATTTGACCTTAAATGGCAAACAGATGAGTGAAAGGCCAAGGCCAACACAGCAGAGAGCCATGGAGAAGTAACAGGATACTCCTGTGCTTCCTATCAGTGGGAGCTTTTCCCCTACTCCTTTGGGACCATTCCATATCATAACCAGACAGTGGTCAGTGCAATATAACTGTGCAATGTTTAACCAAGCCTGAAAACCCAAGGAGGAATCACGGCATTCTACGGTATAGGAAAAGCTTACGCCTACCAGTGGCACCACACAACTCATCTGAGGCTTACCTTTGTCATATTGTTATGTATTCTACAACATGTCAGCATACCTAGGTGCTAAGATGAAATAGCACATGTTAGATACATAGCACCTGAGCCTAGTGTCATTTTCTGTTCCTTTACAGTATCAGTGATGGTTATACATGCCAATAAGAATGGAAAAGGAAACTGAGAATAAAAGAAAAAAAATGATGGATGCATGTCAAAAAAATTTAAATTTGAATTCTATCCACAGATGCAAGTACAAACTATATGAATAATCTTCTAGGAGCTACCATTAGAAGGCCCTAAGAACGGACTCGTGGGTGTAAAAAGGACCATGTGATGGGCTGTGAACTCTACACAGAGCTGGCACTAAGTAAATGCTTGTAACAAAATAGCACTCATGGGTTTCTTTCTTTCTTTGTTTTGAGGACAGGGTCTCCTATATTGTTCAGGCAGGACTTGAACTCCTACTGTAAATTCAAGTGATCCTTCTGCTTCATCTTCCTGAGTAGCTAGGATTACAGGTGTGCATCATGGTGCCTGCCTTAGAGACTATTTCTGATTTAAAAGAACACTACTTTGTAATAGAACAAAACTTGCGAAAAACATACCTTCAGCATTTATACTGAGTTCTGTTGAATTTTCTTCTGCTGTTGCGTATGGATTGTTTCCAACCATTGGCACCAGACAATCAGTATAGAAGTAACCGATCTTAGACATGTTCAGTGTAGAAATAATCAGATCTACTGCAAGCTGACCAACATTTCCAACAGATACTGCTGGCTGAAATATAGAAAAGATATGTTCAATGAGGCAGCAAATCGGTACCACTTTAATAAGTTTAGACAGATGACAACAATCAAAAGGTAAATAATCAAGAAGTTTATACATTAGACAGTAATTACAGCAAGAGTACTGAATGGTTATGTTCAGGTACATAGCTAGATATTCACTATTTCATGCAGTAAAACAAACTGACAAAAATTTCTGCCCTGGTAGTTTCCAACCTAATGAGGTAGTAGTTTATCTGGAATAAAATCAACAGTAAGCTATATAGCGGTAGTGCTATGAGGAGAAATAAGAGTGTGAGCTGTGTATGTAGTTCCTTATAATTTTATTTATTGTTTGGTACTGGGGATTGAACTTGGGACCTTGCGTTTGTGAGGCAGGCGGTGGAACCACTGAGCTAAATCCCTGGCCCAATTCCTTATAATTTTAAATAGAGTGTTCCAGAAAAGCTTACCTCAAGTCACAACTATAGACCTGATGCAGATAAAGAAAAGAGTCAGAGAGAGCTGTCAATACTCCAGGAAGTAGGAAAGCAAGTACAAAGGCTGTGAGGTGTCAACAAAAGCAGGCCAGGTCTTCCTTCTGTTTGCTTTGTGCAGTGTCTCTCTCCCCACTCCTAGAGGTTGGAGTGGCTTTCTTTTCACATGATACACATTACACACACACACACACACACACACACACACACTCCCCCATGACTTCAAACAGCCAAAATGCCAAATATCTATTTACATCCCACAACAGTTCTAAGCTCCAGAGCCCACTGGATATATCCACATTGTCAGGTCACGAGAAACTCACATTCAACAAATACAAACAAACTTTTCCCAAACTTGTTTTTTCTATTTATAATTCACAGAAGGGCAACATTATCACATTACTACTTAAATTTATTCCTTTTCTTTTACCAACTATATCTAATTATGACTAATTTTTACTGACTTATCTCCAAAATATCTTTCACCCCAGCATTTTTTTTTCAGTAGTGGGGATTGAACTCAGGACCCTGCAGTTGCGAAGCAGGCACATTGCCACTGAGCTAAATCCCCGGCCCAAAATCTCTCTTTAATGAGCTCCTTTGCTGCATTCTTCCAGCAACTGCCACATTCTACCCTTCAAGTGTTCCCAAGCACTCTCTCTTTTGTCACTATCATCTACCAAACCTGTTACCTGCTGTAACTCCGTCCTCAGGGATTTGGCTACTTTGGTTAGACTCATCTGTATCATTTCTCTTTTTCTCACTATTAGATTATTCTCATCAGCACATAAACATGTCCTATTATCTTTCAATCTAAAAAATCTTCCCTACCTGTAATCCCAGCACTTGGGAGACTGAGGCAGGAGGATCATCCTGAATTTCAGGCCATAATGAGTTCAAGGCCAGCTTGAATTTCACAGTGAGACAGTTTCTTATTTGTTTTTTTTTTGGTACCGGGGATCAAACTCGGGTCCTTCCGCTTTCAAGGCAGGTGGCGGAACCACTGAGCTAAATCCCCAGCCCGAGACGGTTTCTTAAAAAACAAAAACCTTCCCTCGACTGCACCACTCCCCTGCCACCTCATCTCTCATGCGCTGACACAACCAAGACTCCCCAACAGTTGTCTACTAAAGTATAAACAGGATTAATGAATGAATACAGACACACTCTACCTCCTTTTCTCCCACTTATTCAACTCACTCCAATATGGCTTCCTTCTCCATCACTCCACTGGTAACTTTGCCCAGGTGACCACCACTAACCTCCATCTCACTAAATCCAAACGGACAACTTCCTGTTTGATATTTAATGAGTTAAAGGATAGTTCTGTCTCTCTCTGGTCCTACACCACTGCACACAGTGCACTGGGAGATAGTGTCTTCAGCCCATCCTGTCTCAATGTGTCACTCCAAACTCCTCAGTCTCCAGGTGCCCCGTGCCTTTGTGAATCTGCTTTAGGCGTCCATTCCTGAAAGTCCACCTCCCTAATTACCGCATGGCCTTTCTGTATCTTCTAACTTCTGTTAGTATGCACTGCTCTTACTGGTTACATGCGTTTCCAAGACGACAGTAAAATCTCTCGAGGACAAGCACCTATTCTCATATTCGCACATAATAAAATGTTCACTGAAACAATGACCGAATGTGGGCAACTGCTACAGCGATGCATGCATGCCCTGCGGGCAAAAGTTACTTTCACATTTTTTCTTTTTTTTTTTTTTTTTTTTTTGGTACCGGGGATCGAACTCGGGTCCTTGTGCTTGCGCAGCAGGCGGCGAAACCATTGAGCTAAATCCCCGGCCCAACTTTTACATTTTCTAATGACAATGGCGTGCTAGCTTAGGATTGACTCTAAAGCTATCTGAAAATAAGACTTTCAAGGATAAACTATAAGGACGCCCCACCCAATATCCGTATGATGTGCCTGTATCAAACAGGCTACATTTTGCAAGCACAAAGACTACAATTTGCAGACGTTTATTTACAGCGCTGACCAAAGCTCCACTTGGACCGGCGTCTCCAGCTACAACCTCCCTCCCGTTTTCCCGATGGACGCGCAAGGTCCAGCGGACTAACCAGCAGCAGGGTGCAGCCCGAGAGGTCGGGGCCCGACTTCTCGCAGGGCACGAACATTGTCGTGGAGCAGAGAGCGGCGCTGACGTGAGGAGGACGAGGGTCTCCAGGAGAAAACCTGAGCCCGGCACGGAGTCCGCGGGCGAATCCCGCGAAGCCCCTGCCGCTTCCCGGAGGCTGTCCACAAGCGCAGCGCCCACAACCCTGTGCGGCGCGGGGTCCTTCCATTTCCTCGGCGCCTCCCCGGGGCTGACCCAGCGCCTGCCGGTGCGTGGGGACGGTCAGGCGGCCCAAGGGCAGCCCGGGGCCTGCGCGCCCGCAAGTTTGAAAACAGTTGCCGCCCGCGGCCTGTTCCCGCCCGCCAGGCTGACGCGGCGTCGGCCCCTCGGGAGCTACGCACGCTGTGCGACGGACGCTGCGGCGCGGCCGGGACACCTGGCGGCGGGGCTGTGCGAGGGCGTCCGCAGGCATGTCGCTGCCTCCGGAGAAAGCCTCGGAGCTGAAGCAGCTCATCCAGCAGCAGCTGAGCAAGGTGGGCGGCCGGGGCGGGGCCGAGCGAGTCTGGGCCGGGTCGCGGAGGGGGCGGCGGAGGCGTGAGCGTCGCGCAACGTGGTCCAGTCGGGCACCAGCGGCCTTGTCCAGGAGCGCTTGTCCCCGGCCGTGCTTTGTCCAGAGCCCCCGGCGCTCGCTTCCAGCCTCCGGCGACGAGACCGAGTCGTGAACAGGGTGGTGGTGGGACCTGCTGCGTTCCTCGGCCTGCTCTGGGGAGCCTGCCGTACTCCACTGTAAGGCTCGCTTGGACCGAGTGTCGCTGGCAGAGGGCAGCAGGGTGGTAGATAAACAGTAGAAAGAATTTCTAGGGTTTTCACCCAAAGGTTTGCATCTTTTAAAAGTTAGCCTCTGTTCTCGCTCACTGCTGGTGACGACGACCGCTCCGTGTAGAAGCCCCCAGCCTGAGGCGCGGTACTGAGCTCTGGGGTTTCGCATTGTAAACCGGGCTTCTGTACGCAGATGGATGTCCACGGCAGAATACGGGAGGTCCTGGCCGAGACCATCCGGGAAGAGCTGGGGCCAGACCAGCAACACCTGTCAACAGAAGATTTGATCAAAGCTCTTAGACGTCGAGGAATCATTGATGATGTGATGAAAGAACTTAATTTTGTTACCGTGAGTAACCTTTTAGGGAAAAGTCAGAGTATAAGTATTCACTCATGCAAACGCTGTTTATAGGGTCTGTATTTGGGGTCACCGTTTTAGTAGAATCGCTGTAAGGCCATTCTGTCTAGTAAGGTCCTTAATTTGGGTTAACTCTGCCCTGTGTGTGGAAATTAGTATTGTGTATCATTGAAACTTGAATTATGTAGCATATTTCTGTCTCTGCAGGGACATAATTTCCTCCTGCTATTTTCTGGGACTGCAATTTTATTTTATTTATTAATTTTTTGTCTTTTTGAGACAGGATCTCACTATGTAGTTCAGGCTGGCCTTGAACTCACTCACTGTAGCTCGGGCTGGCCTCAAACTCACAGCAATGCTCCTGTCTCAGCCTCCTGAGTGCTGGGATTACAGGGATGCACCACCATGCCTGGCTAGGAAGGACTAAATATAAGTACTTTAGCCAAATTAGTTCACTATTTAACAAAATTGTTTTTCACTAGGATTGTCATATAATTTTTTTTTTTACCTTAAGCTTTTTTTTCTAAATTACACTTGCTAAATTCTTTAAGAAAGTAACGAACTTTTTTAGAGCTCTCAAATCTTTTCATATAAACAGGTCAATGATGGATGGTGCTTCTCGGTGCACAGTAAGTAGGTCCTCCTTGGAAACGAGGCAATAATGAAAACTGTGACCTCAATACCTGGTAGTGTCAGGAAAAAATAGGGTGGACTTCAGTACACCAGGGAACTAAGTATTTGCATACAGGATTCTTTTTTGGTTTTTTAGGTTTATGAACCTATTTGTGATAAAGATTGACCTAATAGCCATCTCTGCTGTGTGAATGACACTTTATTAAAATCAGTTCATGGTAGAATCTTAGTCTGTGTGTTACATAAGAGTTAAAGTTTAATTGGTTAAAGCACTGAGAATTTGTTTTGAGCGTTCTGTGGGCACAAGGCTTGAACACCATTTAATTCTTAGTGTTAGATTTTAGGGGTGACCAGTTGTATACAGGCATTTATTTTCATTACTTATGTTCGGAAAATAAGGAATCTTTGAAAAGTACCTTACACCTTAGGTTCAGTGCTTAGTTCCAGTGGAGTTTTCTTACCTAACTAAGTTTTGTTTCCTAATTTTGTTTTTCTTACTGCCTTTCTAGGATAATGTTGAGCAAGAACTCTCTTCCTCTCCAAAACAGCCTGTTGGTTTTGATAAACAGTCAACATTTAAAAAAAGTATGTATATATTTATTTAACATTACTTTAGTTGTAGTTAGTAATGGATATAGATGTATTGTTTTTAGAATTTGATAGAAAACATTTCAATTTTTATTTTCCAAAATGTTCTTATATTATTTCAGGTGTGTTGTGGTTAGCTTAAAACTTAGATTCTATTTTACATTAGGTGTGTAAGAAAAGCTCAGCACAGTAGACACAAAAAACAGGAACATTGGTCTCTTTCGTTTTAATACATTGTAAGAAAAATGTACAGCTTTTTAAATGGTAACATAATTACCTAACAGATACACTTATTAAGTTGGTAGTTGTCTGACTTACTTTTTTTTTTTTGGTACTGGGGAACGAACTCAGGACCTTGCACTTGCAAGCCAGGCTTGGTGCCGCTGAGCTGAATCCCTGGCCCCTCTGAATTGCATTTTTGAGGTGAAGAAATGTTTCACAAGGGGCTAAAAAGCAAGCATACATTAGACCTTGGTGTTCTGACTCCTTTCTGGCTGGGAGAAAGTAGCCAAGATGTAAACTCAGAATATCATATTGTGTATCTTTTCCCAGGGTGCAAATGATCCTATGTAGTAAATTTGTTATTTTCTTTTTGTTTAGTCTTTGCTTTTATTTCTGTCAAATTATTGTTTCCTAATGTCTTGATCACATTTGTGAAGTTTGGCAGTTTCCTCATGTGTATTGCTACACTTTACAGCTAATATTGATCCAACACGGAGGTATCTTTACCTTCAGGTTCTGGGTGGAAAAGCTTTCTTGGAACATCTTCAAGAACCTGAGCCTTTACCAGGACAAGTTTGTTCAACTTTTACTTTATGTTTACATTATCGGAACCAGCGTTTTCGTTCCAAACCTGTTCCGTGTGCCTGCGAACCAGATTTTCATGATGGCTTTTTACTTGAAGTACACAGAGAAAACTTAGGTAAGGAGCAGTAATGGTCATTTATTTGAGTAGATCTTTGTTAGGCTCTATGGCGGTACAACCACAACTTTGCTGTAGAGATTTTTAATGGATGAGTCTCCTTAGTCTCCCCTCCCACTGATATTTTTTACTTAAATGATTTCTATCCATTTTCTTGCCTTATGCTCCATTTGCTAATTAATTTTCCCTAAAGATTATTTGTTCACTGTCTTAATTATTGGGTCCTTAGTGGGAAATACTTAAATGTTTATCATGTGTGTGTTTCCATGTTAGGCCATTGGTGATGTAGTGCAGAATGAAATGGGATCCTTGTCATTAGATGGCTAGATGTATGATGTTCTGTAACTCTTAAAAAGCTAAGTTTATACATATAAAAGGACATTTTATACATCTTAGTTATCAATATAGAGAGCTTTATAAATTTAGAGTTGCAGAATTAAACCTTCATAATTTTAGATTTTAAGATGGTTTAATTCACTCATAAAGCTTATTATGTTTTTCCCTGTTAAATGTTTTGGTAGCTGGGTATGGTGGTGCATGCCTATAACCCCAGCTACTTGGGAGGCTTAGGCAGACTGCCTCAACAAAAAGTTGGTGGCCAGACTGTGCTACTTAGGGAGAACCTCTCTCAAAATTTTAAAAAGGCTAGGGCCAGGGATTTAGCCCAGTGGTTCCACTGCCTGCCTCACAAGTGCAAGGGCCCGAGTTCAATCCCTGGTACCAAAATAAATAAATAAATAGGCTAGAGATGTAGCTCAGTGATTGAGTGCCTAGTATGAGCAAGGCCTGAGTTCAATCCTCAATATCCTCCCCAAAAAGTTGATGAGGTAGTTAACAGGGTAAGTTGCTACACCTAAAGTGCTGGATCTTTCAGTTTTGTGTAGATACCAGTGATTATTTCTGAATCTTGAAGAGTAGAGATAGTTTGAACATTATGTTGATGTATTTGATTTTTTTGCTGTAGTAACATATGCTTTAGGTAATTTTTTTTTTTCCTTTGGTAATTACTTTTAAAGAATAGACTTTTTCCTTATGGTTCAGAAAGCTCTGATGCTGGAAATAACTAAATAACCTATTCTGTCAATCATTTTAGAAGTGATAGAAAGAGGAAGTACTTCTCTTCCTAGACTGGCGTGCTTTCTCTGACACTACCAAATTATTCTATTTGGTTTCATATAAGCTTATTTTTCACATACTTTTCAGTACCAGAATTGTTTTGTGTCAGCCTAACTGAATATGTGATACGTGATGTGTAATATGAAACGTGATATGTGACATGTAACGTGCCGTTATTTCTTTTCTTTGGTTCTTGTTGCTAGGTGATGGGACTAGAATGGCTGACCCAACAACAATGTTATCAATAAGTGACCCAGTTCACATGGTGCTAATCAAGACAGATATTTTTGGGGAGACCACTTTAGTAGCCTCTTATTTTCTAGAATGGCGATCAGTTTTGGGCTCAGAAGATGGAGTGACCAGTCTGACAGTGGAACTCATGGGTGTAGGTATGGTGTTTGCTGTCCCTGTTACCTTTACAGAGGCACAGTCTGTGCATTTGCATCTGCACAGTGACTTCACAAACCAGCCAAGAGGGAAAACAGGGTTCCATTAGAATTCTGACTGCAGCCTCCAGGAGCAATGCCAGGGTTGTACTTCACCTTCAGTCTGCCTTGTCTTTGGGAAAATTATTTTCAAGACAATTAATATGGCAACTTTGAAGATTTTCAATTTCTTTAATAAATATAAGGCTATAAAGAAAAATAAGATTTTTGATACACATAAATCCATGTGCTCAAAAGCTTGCTCCTGCCCACACCCTGGAGCTCAGTGCATCTCTGTCAGCCCAGTGTCCTAAGCGCTGGCAGCTGGGGTCTCAGCCTCAGCACCGTGGGCAGCCGTTAAGGGCCCGGTGGGGCCGTCTGAGCACCACCAGCTGCTTGGATCCTTGCACTCACTGCTCTGCAGTATGCACGTGCGGACAGCATGCAATGTGAAGGCTACCAATGTTTTATGCATCATATGTAATAAAAGTGCTGATATTTTAAAAATCATTCTTTTAATAGAATTACTGTAGTTTTGAAACTTACTCATTACCTAAACATAGCCAGTAAATTGCATAGCCTTAGGAATTTTAAGTCAGACCCAGAATGTTTTTCCTTACATAAAAAGTAGAGAAACAATTTTTCTCTATGTAAGAGGTTTAGTTTCAAAACAGATTCTCAGTCAGGTTTGGTGGCACACAGCTGTAATGCTATCACGTAGGAGGCTGAGGCAGGAGGATCCCTGCAAGTTTGAGGCTATCTCAGGCTACATAATGAGACCCTGTCTCAAAAAACAAAACAATCCCCCAGATTCCCAGTTATTTGTCTTCAAAACTAGGCATAATATAATCATTAATGACTAGGAAATAAACATACTGATTTACTGAAGAAATACTAAAAAGTTCTAGCGTGCAGTGTGTTTTCTAATTCTTAAGTCCAGGCATGGATTGAAAATTTGTACTCACATGTAATGTGTTAGTAAGAAAGCATAAGTGGGGACTGCTCTATATGGCAAGGAGTATAAATGCTTTCTGACCCTTTTTTTTTTTTTTTTTGGTACCGGGGATCGAACTCCGGTCCTTGCGCTTGCAAGGCAGGTGGCGTAACCACTGAGCTAAATCCCCGGCCCCTGACCTTTTTTTAATGTACACAAAATGAAATACTAACTTGCTCTGGCTTTTTTTATAAGTGTCATTGGTGTTATATTTATTGAAGATAAAAATTAAACCCAAATCAGATCAGAAAAAGTCCTTAAAATGTGACTAGAAAGTTATTAGTTAATCTTACAGCCAGATGCCTTTGTAAAAACTAAAAACTAATTTGAAAGGATTTGTTTGTTTATTTATTTAGTTTTTGATGTTGGGGATTGAACTCAGGCCCTTGCACTTGCAAGGCAGGCACGGTGCCACTGAGCTAAATCCCCGGCCCCTGAATTGATTTATTTTTGATAAGAATATTAATGTAATATCAAATATTATCTTCATTTAAATGAGAAAATTACTAAGTTTCTAAATTTGTTAGTCTTTGGTTGATTAAACATACATACCTTTGAAGTTGTAAATATTTATATTTATAGGCACGGAATCAAAAGTTTCTGTGGGAATTTTAAATATAAAATTTGAAATGTACCCACCACTCAGTCAAACACTATCTCAAGAAGTAGTGAACACCCAGGTAAGTGACTGTGAGTTTTTCTTCTTTGTGTATTTGTTTTCATTGATCCTAGAAAGTATTCTTTTCAAATAATTATCATTGATTATTTTTTAGATTAGCACTCATGGATTAGCAAAAGGGATGAGAAAAAATAAATCCTAATCCTATTAAAGATTATTTTTCAGTTCGATCCCTGGTACCAAAAAAGAAAAAGAAAAAAAAAAAAGATTATTTTTCAGCCGGGTGTGCCTGTAATCCTGTAATCCCAGTACTGGCGAGGGAGGCTGAGGCAGGAGGATTGCTGAAAGTTTGAGGCCAGCCTGGGCTACATAGTGAGTTAAAGGCCAACCTGAACTACACAGTAAGACCTTGTCTCAAAAAAAAGGTTTACTTTTCTGGAGGAATCTGTAGTCTCATTTCCAAAAGGCAGTGAATATTTGAAACAGCAGACTTAGAAGAGTTATAGACCTGACGGGGGAGAGCAGTAAGGCCTGGCCTGGGTTAGGGCCGGTGTTCTCACTCCTCTTGTGTTCTGCTCTGTGCTCTGCCTGCGCTCCTGGGCGCTGGGGAGGCTGGGGGGGTCCTCACTCTGCGGTGGGTTTGCAGCTTGTCTTGGTGGCCTTGTTTATAGTCGGGGAACTTTGCGGCCTTGTCAGGAGCACTCTGCAAGGGCTTCTTAGCTGCATTCTTTAGTCTAGAAACTGCCTGGACTCCACCTTCCCCTCTATACAGCCCCTTCTACAGGCCTGTGGTCAAACCCAGGACCTCGTGTCTGCCAGGCAAGTGCTCTGCCCTGAGCTGGCCCAGGGCCCCGTGCACAGGGTCTTTGTCTCTGAGTTTTAGATTGCTAGCCCCTCTCTCCTCCCTGTTTGGAACTCTGCTCTGCCTTAATCTAGCAGCTGAGATGCGTGGTGGTGGATGCCCATCTGAAGGCCACAGGGTGGGAACCAATCCAGTTGCTCAGCCAGAATAAACAGGTACACATATATGTGTACTCAGGAGCTTTAATTATGTCACAGACATATAATATGTACGGTAAATATTTGGGTTCTACTTTTTTGATAGTTAAATTATTTTATTTAGCATATTGACAAACATGATTTGATTTTTCTTCTTGGTCCTGGGAATGGAACCCAGAGCCTTGCACATGCTATGTGCTTATTCTGTAGTGAGCTGATCCACAGCCCTGGGGTTACTTTTTAAAACTTGACATCATTTCATGAACATTTTCTCATGTTTCTGTTATCAGATTTACTTTTTTTTTGTACCAGGGATCAAACTTGGGACCTTGCACTTGCGAGGCAGGCGGTGGTACCACTGAGCTAAATCCCTGGGCCTAGATTTACTCTTTAATGATTAAAACACATGTTTATTCTCTTATTTCTAATATATATGTTGTTTCTAATTTCCAGGCTTTTTCTTTAAAATTACACCATTATTAATTTTTTCCCCCAGTGCTGGGTATTGGCCAAGGCCTCAGCACTGAGCTACATCCCTGCACCCTATCCCAGCCTTTATGAATTTTGAGACAGGATCTCTAATTACCTAGCTGGGATTATAGGTGTGCACCACCCCACCTGGCTTCAAATTTTTAAGTCAGAAATACTCGCTGCTCTTAAACAGATGCTCAGAGATATGAGACACTGTTCCAGACTCGGGCTGTCGCTGTGCTCGAGGCAGGCAGCTTCTCTCAAGAGCCTGGATTCTAGACTGAGCCCGGCCCAGCAACGCAATGATGTAGCGAGACCCTTTCTCAAAATGAAAAAGCAAAATAGGCTGGGGATACAGCGCCGTGCAAAAGGCACTGGGTTCCGTCCCGGTAATGCAGATAGATAAACAGTGTAGATTCCAGTGGGGAGATGATGAACATGAATCAGCAAGCAAAATTCTCGGTGGTGGAGAGTGTCATGTGGAGAATGATTTGCATGACTTACTGAGGGTCCGGGTAGGGAAAGGTCTGAAGACAGAGCAGCTGGATGTGCCCAGAGGCCCAAGTGCTCTGCTCACACAGTGGGGAGAGAATGAGGAGGCGGGCCAGGTAAGGAGCAGGACTTACTGCTGACAGTTTCTGTCTCGGAGGACAGGTTGCTTCGCCTGCTGGGTGGAGACCCAGTGGCCTGAGTGAGTGAGGAATGGTGCTGGGTAGAGGTAAGGGTCCACGTGGGAGGCTGGTGGTTAAGGGTGTTGTGGTCATCAGGGAGACTGAGTAGAAATTGAAAAATGTCTGTTCAAATTTTCAGCTTGCTTTGGAACGTCAGAAGACTGCAGAGAAAGAACGGTTGTTTCTTGTGTATGCTAAGCAGTGGTGGAGAGAATATTTGCAAATTCGACCCTCACACAATTCACGACTGGTCAAGATTTTTGCACAGGTTTGTTAGAGATTATGTTGGAGATTTTGTTTATATTTGTAAAATGTGTTTATTCAAAAAAAGGAAGTTTATTTGTAATATAGAACAGTAATTTTATAATATCCATTGAGTAGGTGATTGGCATAATGCAGACTTTGTTTTATTTTGCTTTCAGTTTTGATTATTGGACCTTAAAATCCTTTCTGAGTATATTTGGTTTAAAGTAGATGAAGATCTATTTTGTTTAACTTTAATTATTACCCCTCACGACACTTGGACGCTTTGTGATTTATATGTAAATTCAGTTCTTGTGTGCAGAACAGAAACTGTGGGTATACATTATTTCTGTTAGATTTTTGAAAAGACCAGTATTGCTGGGCGTGGTAGTGCATACCTGTATTCCCAGCACTCAGGAGGCTGAGGCAGGAGGATCGATGAGAGTTCAAGGCCAAGCCTAGGCTGCATAGTGAGTTCAAGTCCAGCCTGAACTACATATTGAGACCCTGTCTCAAGAAAACAAAACAAACAATATTACATGTAATAATACTGTATAGCCAAGATGTCTAAGCCAGGGAGCAGTAATTTTAATTGCAGAATTTCAGCACAGCCTAGAGCAGCGGGCCTTGGCTTGGTGATGGTGCCACATCCTGACAGCCCATTGAAAGTTGAACTGCATGAGTACACCTCACGTGCTGGGGTATTGTGGCTGAGCAACACAGTACTCTGACGCATGGTCGTCATTTATAGTTGTGATCATTTTCCTGGGAGCTGCAGCTGCCTAGCACAGAGAGATCATGTTGTGCTTTGTGTTACTGTAGACTTGAGGATGTGAACGGATGCACAGTGCTTTTGCAGTGTCCTAAAGTTGAGGAATTGTAAATCATGCCCCGAGTCTGGGACTGTATGTATTATCTCTTTTGTCTATTTTTCCTGACCCCTAACCTGTTTTCTCTTTAACAAACTAACAAAATATTTGTTCCATATACTTTTTGTAACTTTTGAGGAGCTGTTAATATGTGTTTATGTCTGTCTTCAGCCCCACATAGCTGCTTCTGTGTAAGTATATGATTCTGACAGGTGTTTCTCTCATCTGGCCTCACCTACCTGCCCTTCCTAAACTGACAGATACATGCTTCTGCTGCTGGATGGGGAGTGTGGAGTGAGGGCCCTGCCAGCTCGTGCTGGGAAGGAGGGAAGTCGCTTCTCATTCTCCAGCAGCGCTCTGTGTGTTGGAAGACTGGACAGGCCGGGTAGCCGCTGTCCAAACCAGGGCGGGAGACTCAGTCCAGACATAGCCGGCTCCCAGCTGTCTGCCTGGGCTGAGGCGCAGGTGCTTGCCACCGCCACGGAGTGGCCCCTCGGTGGCCCGGGCGGGGTGGGGAAGTCACGCAGATGGCAGGTGAAAGAGAAGGGGAGGCAGCCGGGGATGTAGCTCAGTGGTTCTGCTGCCTGCCTTCTAAGTGCAAGGTCCCGAGTTCGATCCCTGGTATCAAAACAAAGCGGGGGGGGAGGGTCTGGGGGTGCACAAGGGCCTAGGTTCCATCCCCAGCACTGCACACAAAGGAGACAGTGTCTTTAAAGTGACTAAAGATGATAGCAGTGCACTGTATATGTTTTTAAAAGCTGGAAGAAAGGATTTTGAATATCTTCACCATAGAGACAGGGAAGATGTTAGAGAAGGTAGCTGTGTCTACCCATAATGATTTCATGAGTTGAAGCATCATGTGGCACCTCATAAATATGTGCAATTTCTATATACTGGTTGAAATTTTTAAAAAAAATATCAACAAATTTTAAAAGGAAAAATTTAAATCACCACATACAGTTAGTGGCTTTCTCACAGACTGTACCTCTAGCTTCCATTTCCTTACCTATGGAATGAAATAATGGAGATATTACTTGAGTTAAGAGAGGTTCTATGGACAGCACTTAGCATGCTGGATGTGAGGTGAGTCCACAGAATTACTTACCTCACAGTAATGCACATTAGAAGAAGCTGTTAAAGTTGGGGATGATTAATCTGTCGCTCCAGATAATGTCTCCCCCTTGCCTTCCAGGATGAGAATGGCATAAACAGGCCAGTCTGTTCCTATGTGAAGCCACTTGGAGCTGGACGGCTGCTGGACACCCCAAGGCAGGCAGCAAGATTTGTGAATGTGCTGGGGTATGAGCGGGCCCCTGTGATCGGAGGAGGAGGTAAACAGGAGCAGTGGTGCACTCTGCTGGCCTTTCTCTGTAGGAACAAGGTACCACACGTCCTGTGCTGAATCGCTACGCTTGTAGTCAGTCACCCTGCATTTGTAGTGTGCGTGTAGATTACCGCAGAGCAATGTACAGTTACCAAGCCTGGCACAGGGGCACATGCCCATGACCCCAGCTTCCTGGAGGCTGAGGCCTCAGGATTGTGAGGGCAGCCTAGGCTACACGGCGAAACCTTATCTCATAATAAAAAGGGCTGGGGATGTAGCTTGGTGTAAAGGCCCTGAGTTCAGTCCTCATTATTGAGAGGTGGGGAGGGAGAGAATGATGAGAGAGGAGAGAAAAAGAGAGAAGATGCACATATCAGAAGCTTGAACAAATCAAATTGTGTTTTCTCCATTTTTCAAAATATTTACATATCAACACATAAAAAACTTGGTGTCTTTATTTTTCCATAGTTTCTTATTCAACTTGATGTGATTTCTTCGAGGTAGGGATACTTAAGTTCTTGTAAGAAACAGGTATAGAGGAAAGATATAATTCATGTGTTAGAAATTTGCTTAGATCATACATACATTCTTTTAAAGAGACTGACAATAAAAAATGAACATGGATTCAGTCCTCAGTACCACATGCACACACATGCACACACAAGGATGGGTATGGAGGCCAGTCTTATATTGCATGGCAGTTTGCTCCCTTATAAACACAAGTACATGTTTAAGAACTTATGTAAATTTATTGCTGTTAAACTTTTTGTTTTGCAGTACTGGGGTCTAATTCCAGGGTCTTTGCACTGAGCTACATCTCTGGTACTTAAAAAAAAAATCTTTAAACTGTGAGACAGGGTTTCGATAAGTTGCTGAATTGCTCAAAGTGGGCTCAAATTTGTGATCCTTCTGTCTCAGCCTCCAAGAGAGCTGCGAATACAGGTGTCCACCACCATACCCAACTTGATGTTGAACTTTCTTTTGGAGGGGGGTACAGTTTGAGACAGGGTCTTGCTTATATAGTCCAGGCTGGCCTTGAACTCACTGTGTAGCCCAGGCTGCCCTCGAATTTGCAGCAGTCCTCCTGCTTCAGCCTCCTGAGTGCTGGCTGGGTTTACAGTTGTGCACCACCACACCCAGCTCTTGAACTTTCTAACACCTCAATTTCAGTAAACTAACTGTAGATTATGGTATGTATCTTAATCATCTGAAGTCTAAAAATGTTAGTATAACGAGTAAGGCCATCTTCAACTTTTAATCTGGTTGAAATAGGAAAAGAGAAATCTGTTGTTTTGCAATAGTTTTGTTTAGTCTGAGGGCCTATTATCTTGTCGTTCATAAGATGAAGCTCAGATGGCAGGAGAAACATCTGGCCGCAAGGTCGATTTGTCCATTGGGAAGAAGGTGTCTTACAGGCAGGCAATTGGAAAGCAACCAGACCTGACTCACTGAGCTCACTTTAGTTCCAAAAAGTTGTGTTGATGGATATAAATTTTTTAAATTTCAGTTACATGGGGCCGGGGATTTAGCTCAGTGGTTTCGCCACCTGCTGCGCAAGCGTGAGGACCGGAGTTCGATCCCTGGTACCAAAAAATAAAATAAAATTTCAGATACAGTAGGAATAATACATATTTGAAATCATTATGTAAATAATTACTTTATAAATCAAATAATCATCCTTTTGGTTCAGTTTTTTTTTTTGGTACTGGGTCTCAAACTCAGAACCTTGAGCTTGTGAGGCAGGCGGCGGTGCCACTAAGCTAAATAAATCCCTGGCCCTTGGTTCAAATTTTTTTTTTTTTTTTTTTTGGTTTGGTACCGGGGATCAAACTCGGGTCCTTGCGCTTGTGAGACTAATACAGATTTCAAACACAGCTCTCATACTATTTAATTATGAAATCGTAAGCAGTTACTTAAACTTGTATTTCCCAACTGGTTTGATCTCCAGTTTTCTTTCTTTTTTTTTTTTTTTGGTACCGGGGTCCTTGC